GTCACACCGCAATCATTTTCAATTCAGATGAGAAATCACAAGATTCCGCATTTCTGGTGAAATGGGCAATAAAACTAAAAATCATCTTGATAGTTTAATCTTTTTTGATTGAAGCCATCTAAAGTTGCAATCACTGTATAATTTTAATAACAATTCAATTATGATAAAACAAGGTAAGTTATTATAATAATTATTTAAAATTGATATGTATATTATATGTTTCATAGATAATAATTTTGAGGCAAAATTTACTAAATGAAGTCCCGGGACCGACTTGTTGGCAATCATTACCCGCATTCGGGATACTATGCGCGCTATTAAGTATTAATTTATTTAATTAAATAATTATTAATATATTAGCTTTTACTTAATAACAGGTCATACAGTGAATTCAGTGGCGGTGCTAATAGTCAAATCATTGCCAGACATACACCCAATAGAAGTATTATTTTTTAGGTAAATATCAATTAAATAACAAATACCCTCTATTATCGCATATAAGCTATAGCTTACTAAACAACTAATTTATATGTTTTACTAATAAATAGAGGTCTAATACAATTCATTGTATTTTTCGCTGTAACCATGTATGAAAAGGTGCCGATTTTCAGTGAGCCGGGTAACCGGCTAACCCTAGCCCTGAGATGTATAGCCGGGACAGCGGTAATCGTGTGCATGTACTCCGCCTATCGGTTGATGCCGTTATCGGACGTCATCACGATATCCATGTCATCGCCGGTGTTCTGCACTATAATGGCGTACATTATACTCCGGGAACCAATCACGTGCGTACACGTGGCCACCGGCGGCGCCATCTTAGTAGCCGTGGCCATCATATGTCGACCTGAGCTGCTATTCGGTCCCAAGGCTGCTGACGTCACCACAGAGTACGCCAATCGGACGGGTAGTATACTACTGGCCATTACGGCTGCCGTAACGTCAGCCCTGGTATTGATTTTGCTACGGAAGCTCAAAAGTGCAACCCTACCAGTGGTGGTCACGTGGTTCTCACTAATCATAGTATTGGTGTCCGTAATACTGGTGCCCATCGTAGACCACTGGGTGCTGCCTAGTAATTGGGAGACCTGGTTAATGTTGTTGGGCACCGGTATGTGCGGGGTGCTAAATCAGTTTTTTATGACCCTTGCCTCCAAACACGAGGATACCGGTCCCCTATCGCTCACCAAAGGATGGAGTATTATATTGGCGTTCGTATGGGAAGTGGCGGTGTTTCGGGAGCCTATCCTATGGACGTCTATTGCCGGCGCGTGCCTTATAATGGTGTCACTGGTATTACTATCGGTAAACACCATGTATAGGGAAAATCCCGATAAATTTAAAAACTATTTTCAGCGATTGTGTTAATATAAATAATTTGATATAAATTAATTAATTTGTAGTTTATATAATTACGTCAATTGATTTAATCTATAATATTATATATTTTTAATATAATATAATATGAAATGATTAAAACATAATTTATTTCGATTTATTATACTGATAAATGTTCATGATAATTTTTATAAATATCGGTTTTATAAAATGTGCAGTATTGTATTCAACAATAATTTTAATTAAGTTTAAATATTAATGAATTAACTTGTTTAATTTAGGCAGAAAAGTGTACTCTGCCCTATGAATTATTCTTAAAAATTAAAACAAATAAACATATTTTTAAACGTTGAATTATAATTTTGAAAAAACTATCACGCTCATAATTTATTTTACATTGACATTTAACTACTTGGGAATGGGAACCGGTATGGCCTCCACGGCTATACTTTCGATGCCCATGGCGTTCACACCCCGGTCGACCTTAAAATATCCCTTATCGCCCCACCAGTCGCCCCAACTATTTTTCACGATCCAATAGGTTTTGTTTGTCTGGGCGTCCGATCCGTAGCCCACGATTAGCACCGAATGGTTCACTTCGATCCACGGATTATACTCGCCGTTCGGGCGCCGATGCCGGACACCGGTCGGCCCGTATATGCCGGACCCGTAGGACACAAAGTCGTCCGACAGTGCCATTTTGACGGACACCGTGAGCGGCCCGTCCCGGACGAGTGCCGCGCGCATCAGCGGCTCGTTACACCCCCCGTAATAGCCGCCAACATAGCCATACCGAGCCGTGTAGTAGCGTTTTGTGTCCGGCGTGCACTCTAGATATGGGTCATCGGTGGTGAAACCGTAGTCCTGTCCGTATTTGCCCTAGAATATATTTTCAAATATTATTTATTTCCTAATTAACAAATATAATTAATGGATGTACACCAAACTACCCGTTGGGCTAGCTTTTATATATTTGTGATGTTTGATGTTATCTAGGTATATATATACTGAACTACCCCAAACGGGTCTCCACTATAATGAAGCTTGATACAATTCTCAAATTATGGTTTCTATGGTTAGGATAGGGTAGGTATCATTGTAGCAGCTAAAGCACTGGTATATGATAAATGAACAATTTGAATTGTGATTTGGTGTAAACCAAATGTATACTAACGGCAATCAAGTATGGGAAACCTCCTTCACAGGCCTGGCTATAATGGGAACACTGGACCACATCCTGTTCCGATAGGTCGAGGGTCAGTGTGTTGTTTGTGAGCACTTTAATACGGGCCTCAATCATGCCGATGGAGCCGTACGCGTAACAACTGCCGCAGTAACCTATTGTCACAACAATAAGTACATAATATTTATGATACACAATAGCGATGCGAAAATAGCTGATCACACAACCATTTTGTTATAAATACCCTGATACTTGACTGATGTGACGTAGTTTACCCCGCTCACGTTTCGCCAGTCAAACTGCTCCGGTAGGGTATCCGCCACGCGGCGTACCTCCTGGGTTACATCGGCCGGTGTTGGATAACTGGGCGAACAAAATATGTTATAATTTATATTAGTTTTTGGTGATAATACATAACATTTCGAAATAATTGTAGTAAAAAACAATTGCTTCAAAAATAATTGTATTATTTATTTATATACCTATAGATAGTAGAGGCTGGTCCGCCGTGAAGGCGGTGCATATCTGTTAACGGTATGCCCTCGAACTGGGGGTAGTGTTTGGCGGTCCACGAGTTTTGTACGGCGTTAATCTCGTTAATAATAGCCGGGTCCTGGCGAAACACGTCATGGTCGAGCGCGAGGCTATCGGCAATGGTATGTGTGCGATTGGCCCCTACAAACGGCCCTTTGACACGTGTACCCTGGTAACAGGCCCATTTTTTGCCTTCAATGTCATGTGACCAGCCGGGTTTGGTTCGGTCGCACAGACTGGTCACCACATACGACACGATCTTATAATCAGAAAAGGCGTAATACTTTCGGTCGGCGACCGTCACCTCGAAACCCTGGTTGTAGACCATAGTCCAGGTGCCTATATGTTTGGGATTGTCGCAAGATATTTAATATAATTCATGTGGATAATAGTTCGCTTGGCCTAGTGCCTTTATCCTTATTAGTAACTGAACTACTGGTTCAGGTGATATAGTAAACTCACTAATGTTATCACACCCCCACCCCCACCCCCAGCCTAATGAATACTTATTTATAGTAAACTACCGATTAAAGTTGTTGATTTTTTGAGGCCAATAACATTGTCCAACCTAACCTAAGTCACTGCAATATTTCAAGCAATTGAAATTGCTTGAAATATTGCAGTAACCTAGGTTAGGTTTAGGTTTAAAAAAATCAACGATTTAATCGCTAGAATTTACATAGATCAAATTAACACTCGGGTCTTACCGACCCGTAACCAAAGGGGGGCTATAATTTTTCAAACCTTTATGGCCAAACTCGTCTACGGCGATGTTGGGGTACTGGAGCTCAACCGTCACGTTGTTGACGAAAATTGTCCCATTGTCGCACACCTCCATACGGTCGGCGGTCTGACTGGACTCCGAGAACCGCCAAACACCCACAATCTCTTCGTACGTACAGTTGGCCGGCGTGTTGGCCCCCGATCGCCGTACGTACGCCGCCACCAATAACGCCAACAAAACAGGCCGTATTCTCAACATAATTTAGCTGTCAATTAATTAGTAAAAAATAATTTCTATTTTAAAACTGTTATGAAACAAATGTTGAGTGAATTTACTAACGGAATGCTACACTTATTTATACTACTCTCGGCATTAAATATAAGTACCACGATTAAATTATTATCTAATTTTAGCTATTGATGTTTCAATTTGTTGATATATTGATAAGAAAAG